GTAGATGTTTGATGACCCAGGAGAAGACAACACAATTTCGGTGATTACAACGACGGATTGAGGTGAAAAGACTGCGACTGCGCGACGAATCTTTTATTGGGAGATGCGGTGATGAATGGGGAATAGATGATGATGGACGATGGAAGGGATGAACTTACTAGCGAGGCTTCTCGAGATGCAGTCGACAAAATTGGTGCAAGATGAAGAACTGCTTTGTGTGTCTGGCAGGGTCAGCATGCATTTGCGAGAAGGGAAGGATAAGTTGTCGGGACAGCACGAGATGTTAAGATCACTTGAACTGGAGTTGGGGATGATGCATCTGGTGTTCCGTATATGGCGAGACGCTAGGGCAACAAAAGGACTGTGGCGACGACGAAGACTTGGGAACAAGAGAAATGGACTTACCGAGGCAGAAGTGCAAGTGTTTGCAGTTACTAATCGGAGATGTAATGGAGATGTGATGGTATGACGGACGAAGGCCAATGTTCAAAAGTTGTTGCTGCAGACGAAGCGGCGTTAGTTGGTAAAGGTGGGGTGGGATGGGAAAGGACGGCAAGGTATGGGACATGCAAGTTGCAGGTTGACAGTGAATGGATCTGGGGAGAAATACTTACTACCAGATTGGAGCTTTGGCCAATACTCAAGTCGCGTTGCAGCAACAGGACTTAAGTACGCGAGTTCTTAGACTGAAGTATCAGCAGGGCGCGTCTCACGTCGATGCCAGAGTATCAATATCTCTAGCTTGTCAAGATATCGTTCCAACTGTGTAACTAGATGTTAGATGTTAGAGCTGAACTGCAATATTCAAGTTGCCTCCCTATAATTATTTTCTTCGCATCAAGTCCGCACCACTTGATGGTAAGTATGGCTAGGGGATATCTTCAGCAGGCGAAGAATAATCTGGGCACTCACCTAATGACTCCAAATGCCAATGGAGAGAGTTGAATCAAGAGTTGTAAACGAAAGTTGTGGCAAGAGATGATAGATGTAGATGAGATGTGGATGGATGTTGTAGACGAAATTGTAAAGAGAGCTGTGTGGGTGACCAAATAAAGAGTGACACGAGATTAGAACAGGTTAAGTAAGACTAGGGAAGAAGGAGTGTTTTGTAGGACTAGAGAAAGGTTGGGGGGGATTGGTGATTTTAAATAGTTTGCGCCGGCAACGTTGTATATCTACCACAATTACGTTTAATCAAGAAGGAGGCCAATACTTGGTACTTATGTATTATTAGAGGTATTCCTCCAGAACAAGTGAATTAAATATCAGCTGAGGCATGTACAGGAATTGTGGCCCCGAGTATTTCCTACGGAAGGAGCAGAAGCACTATGTGTATCACCTCAAGGGGGAAAAGGGGGGCCCGCAACTTCCTACCCCGGAATTGTACTTGATAAACCCACCTTGTACGTACATATTATACTCATACATGTAAGTACCATAAGTATGTTTGCCCCCTCATGGAGTACATTATCTTATATGTGAGTAATCAGTTCTTGAAATTTGGTTGAGATGTTCTCGAGGCAGGCCCCAGTTTGGTTAGTCCGAATATACTATACCATTTATATGCGCTTGCTATCTCAAAACTACAAGCCAAACATTTTGCAGCCTATCAAAGCTGATCGATTGATATAGACGGTCCCTACAGCTGCCTAGTATTTATATTATTGAGGATCTGTAAGGCAGATTCCATAATTCACTGCTTCACGTCTCAGTACAATCATTGCATGAACATCCTAATTGGGTAATGGGATACTGATTCAAATTCAAAGGGAGGACCTTCCTCGAATTGGGGAATCATGTACCTGCTCAGTATGTATTTTTACTTGATTTATTTTTCCTTCTTCGTGTAATTGGACGATCTGGATCAAATCAAAATCAGAGCTTGTTATTTCCTAGTTAGTGTTATTCCATGTGAATCCGTGGATATCCCTTTGTGTACAATCAACCAAGATCAATGCATAAGCTCTTGTCAATATCTAGAATCAGTTCACTGCCAGTCATAGAAATTTGTATGGGCCCGATTTATCGACCAATCTGGGCTAAGCTATTCAAAATATTCACTTAACAAACTGTGATTACCGTTTTTTACATGCCATGACTCATGGTACAAACTCGAGTACAAATCACGAATTAATCAGTATTAATATCCTAATCATGATTCTAACCTTTAAAGTGAATGGCATTTATCAAACATTCTATGAATTTTTGGTAGTTAATGATTTTTGATCAGTTTCGACTTGGGTAAATTTATTTAATTTTGATCTTGACCTCTAAGAAATGGAATCTACCGTGTCATTTAGGTTGGTACCATGCTCTCATATGGATCCCCAAAAGATACTAGATCGTAGAAGAGGCAGTAATAATCGACAAGAATGATGATCCCTGGTGTAGCTGATCATAAAGTTCAGGGGATGAATATGCCCATGTGAAAATACCCTACGGTGACAGTGTATTGCAATTTGGAAGTATTTAACTCATATAAATCAGTAACATGAAGTCGAGGGCCGTATATACAAGGTATGTTTCCGAATAGGATGACATTGGTCTCTCTACTGTTAATCTGTAGCATTTATTGTCCAACTGTGTTGGATATGTGACCCTTTGCCGTTTAGGTGCTTCGGAGGCAACTGGCTTAATTAATTAGTAGCTACCAGAAAGCTTGTGTTAGGGCAGATCAGACCTCGGATTAGGCACCGGTAGGAAATGTTAAAATGATGAATTGGCCTGGAAAATTCTGGTACATATGGCTTTGTTAACTAGAGACAGACATTTGCCTACGACACTTTTTTTTTAGCGGCGTGAATAGAATAGTAATAGAACTGTTACTATTAACAGGGTAATAAAAAAGGGAAACTACACATCCTAACTGGATAGATACATCCGGAGTTATTTTTTGTCTCAGAAATGGGTTCTGGTGTTGCAGAAATTCCGTTGTAGCTCATATGGAGACTGATCAGTTGCAGGAAACAAGCAGGTTGATGTTATTGTAAATATGAACTCCTAATGCGTCTTGTAACTTACAGTATAGGAAATAAGGTATGATACATTTTGATAAAATAGAGAAATTAAGTATTGAACATTCCTAGTCATCTTATGTTTACTTACGTAGAACGCTCTTCCTCGGCTACAAAGTTTCCTTGCATTATCTTAAATGTTCCATAAATTATCTAAGATCTTGGTGGTAAATACTGGAGGCAGCCCTGCGGGCTGCACAATATGCCCGAGTTTACATAATTGCGCATGTGCCAGATACTGCCCATTGAGTTACTTTCCTATTTGGGCCATGGAAAAAATTCGACACAATAACCCCTCGTAAACTCGGGCATTTTGAGGACATGTTGCTAAATTTCTTAAAAAGTAAATAGAACAACCTAACATGGGTATTCAGTACAGACCCGTTATTTACCTACTCATGAAAATACCATTTTCCTAGGGTTGTATTAGTTGGGTTATGTATTAGTCTTTGGAAGATAAACGCAGCAGGTAGCTAGACGCACATGATGTATCAAAATAAAATCGCATTACTACTGGTTAAATCGTCATTTTGTAGTTTGGCTTACTAGACAGGTGATATCTGGGGCCTTACAGGAACTTGAATTGCAGGCATAATTGACATGTGAGAATATATACGCCATTTCAAATGTCATTAATTCCACTGGATCCTATTAAAGGGGCTCCATCACAGCAGATCAGATGAAGACTTCAGGACTGAATGCCAATACACTGCTCGATACCCCATTCCACGAAAATCAACTTGAAAGACGCGAATTGCTCGAGAGGGCAACGATTAGCAGTATTGTAAACTTTTACTGGATGGATATAAATATGTGATAGTATACAATTATTAAGGCTAGTAAGGTTCCGTTCTTCCAACAGCGGAGCCCGGCTAGGTGGCAACGCTGTTTGAGATGTTAAACATACTATGGAAACTATGCAATATTCGACCTCGAACTAATAGTACAGGGAATTAGCCCCGAAGCCGATCCGGCTGAACGAGAGAGGTACTCGTGCTAATGAACCCAGCAAAGGGACCAGCGGAGCTACTAAAGAAGGGATTCTCATATTTGGGCGACTCTAGACACGATTCCTTGACTTGCCAGTGAAGTAAATTAGTTTTCTATTCTATTTATTATACCTAATATCCGCACTAAGTAGGGAGATATCATGATATTTTCTGAAAGCTTGAGTATCCTGGAACGTGATTTCCAAGTATCAGACATGAGCACGTTTCTTACCCACGTAAAAGGCCGGCAATATCACAATGTAGAGTCTCCTAAGGCTATCCGGTAATAGAATTCGCACCGGTCTGATTCGCAGAGACGCTTAAAGACATCCACCATAGGCGTCGTGTCTATTCTCCTGCGTGGTGTATTATTAGAAAAAAAAAATATAAGACAGAAAGGCGCTTACGTCGTGTATACTGCAGATGGCGCGTCCCCTTATACTGGCGGCTAATTCCAGTCAGCATAGGTGATCCCGGGAAATTGACACATATTTTTCTATTTAAGCGAAGAAGACCTCAACATGTAATTAATATCCCCGCAATCCGTTCTCAGCCTGAGGTGGCATATATCTATGCCACGTTTTGCTGCAGGGGATATCTGCCAGTTTTGCGAGATCTGCCGATGAATTGAGACCTACTGGTTCGACTAAATCCAATATACCAAAGTCATACTTCATAGATCGTCTATAGAGAAAATAGAATATATGGAGCCATGATCTAGGGCTGGAAAACTTTCCCTTGCTCCATTCACGGCTCCGGCCTGAGGAGTTTACCTTTAACTTGCTCGTATTCGATGGAGATGTCTATTGATATATGATGTATATTACCTTCTCATCTTTGGTATGTAACCTCAAGCGAACTAGCTATCTTGTTCGGGAGGGAGGGGGGTCGACCTAGGGTAGTCTGTTAAAATATAGATCACTTAAATGATACCCGCTGCCGCCATCATGGATTGAGCTCGAGCCTCGTGTCTAGTTAGGAGACCTAGGATTCCATGATGTCTTTTGCTTCAATCTCCAGGTTTGGATTCTTCGCAACTCTGTTGCTCGTGGTAGCTGAGTCGTTTGCTCAGGCACGCCGCCTATCGGAGCTCCAGATGAGGTTCTTGAACAGCTCAACACAGGCGAAGCCTTCATATGATTATGTGATCGTCGGAGCAGGAACTGCCGGCTTGGCAGTAGCAGATCGTTTGACAGCGGATGGGAAAAGTGAGTCTCAGCGGGATCCAACGTTGAACTACTTTGCGTACTAATATCTTAACGTTAGCTACCGTTTTGGTCATTGAAAATGGCAAAGTAGGTGGGTTACACCATGATAAAGAATTCGATATTGAATGGGCCTACTGACACTTAAGCATTAAGTCGACTCTCCTAGAATTAACCAAGTTTTCTCTGGTACTGCTGCCATGGGCCCGACTTGGTCGTACCAGATCAACTCGGTTCCTCAAGTCAACCTACAGAACCGGAGCAGAGCGGTTATAGCTGGCAACTTAGTTGGCGGTAGCTCGGCGATTAATGCAATGATGACCTTTCGAGGGACGTCAGAAGATTACGACCGATGGGGTAGTTTCTTCAGTAATAGCTCTACTTGGTCTTGGGATGGCCTTCTACCTTATTTAAAGAAGGTAAAGTTTTCCGTGTACCTCATAATGATGTTTTAGCTAATCAATCAAGGGTCTTACTTTTGTGCCCCCTGACCCTGCCGTGGCGAAATCTGTGAACCTCACGTTTGACACTTCATTCTGGGGTAACGGTTCCAACGTATACGTAGGATGGCCATTCTTCCAGTGGCCCGGTTTAAGTAAGCGACTTTCCCTGCCCGTTTTAATATTGCCTACTGACACAAGATTTAGCTACGCAAATGGAGGCCTTTAGAGACATACCTGGTGTTGAGTTCCCCCCTGACAGTGGTGCAGGCAGGGCAGGTGTTTACTGTTTTCCGACTTTCATGGACCCTAAAAAAGTTCAAAGGTCATACGCTAGGACTGGACATTACGATGTCGTTACCCAGTCTCATGTGACGAAAGTTCTTCTCGAAGAGGGGACTGCCACGGGAGTTGTTTTCCGACAAAAGAATGGCAATGCTACCACCCTCACCACAGTCAAGGCCAATCGTGAGGTTATACTTTCTGCGGGCGCGATTCACTCTCCCCAACCGTTGCAGCGCAGTGGGATTGGGCCTGGCTTAAATACGATCGTTAACCTACCTGGCGTCGGCCAAAACTTCCAGGATCACCCAATGCTACTCATGAGCATTGTCCGTGAGTAATCCCTAAGATTATAAGTATTCGAAGAAGCTGATTGAGAGCCTTTCTAGTCCGGAACTTTACGACTCACCCGAGCCCATTGGATATGTTTGGTGGGAACAAGAATTTCACTGACTGGGCACAGGAGTTATGGAGAGCCAACAAGACTGGTAAGTCACTATGTACGAGATATAGGGGACCCCGGACTTATTTTTGACGTATTTTAGGACCATACTCGATGGGTATTGGCAATGCTGCTGCATGGCTAGGCATGCCTGTAATTCTCCTGAGAGGTTCGAAAGCATAGCATCTAAGCTGGAGAATCAAGACCATGCTGCTCAGCTACCCCCGGATACCGACCCAACAGTTGTTGCTGGTAGGTTATTTGAACACTCTATGTTAAGGGACAGGAAAAAAAGACCATAAATGAATAGAAGAGACTAACATCGATAAATAGGGTATAGCGCGCAAATGAAGAAGATGGCGGCGTCAATCCGTTCCTCAAACACGGCTTTCTAGTAAGTGACCACTTTCACTGCCCCTATACTATGTCTAGATACATGGCATGCGCCAAAGTATTTTATGTGCTTTGAACTTGCTTCTCAACTTCAACACTTCCGCATATGATAATGGTAACTCACCATATATTCTCTAGCAACCACGTCCTAACTGGAGCCGGATCTTCGGGCACGTTGGTAGATTTGCATCCACTCAGTCGCGGCACAGTGAACATCAACACCACAGACCCATTCAACATAGAACCCATAGTTGACTATAGGGCCCTTACCAATCCTGTCGATCTCGACATCATGATCGAGATGCTCCGATTCACCAAGCGATATTTCTTCGAGACAAGACTAAAGGAGCTTCCCCCCAGGCAGGTACAGCCGCCCGACTACGTTAACGAGCCCGAATATTTAGCCGGCTTCTTGACGCAGAACCTTAGTCCTTCCGAGTTCCACCCCTCGGGGCACCTACGCCATGATGCCAAGAGAACTTGGAGGCGTGGTTGACGAGAGCCTGAAGGTGTACGATGTGAAGAATCTGAGGGTCGTCGATGCTAGTATCATGCCTACATTACCTGGAGCCAACACTTGCCAGAGTGTCTATGCCATTGCTGGGAAGGTAAGCGACGCCCGGTGTGTACGAAGATATCTACTATTAACGCTTCGCAGGCAGTCGACCTCATCAACGCTGATTCGTAACTTGAGCGGGTACCGGATATGGATCTAGTGGCGAGTACTATGTAAATTCTAAGCACTATATGAGAGAAAGTTGAATAATCATATTATTTATATCTTAGCGTACATTACGCGAGGCCCGGGGGCGGATGTGCGTATGTAGCGTTTCATGAAATATGATGGTATCGTAAGAACTCGTATTTGTTCATTTATGTCTTTGAATCTCTCATCCTCGCATCTCACTCATCATTCCATTGCGGGACAGTATTCGTATGGCAACTTGGTAAAAGGTTAAGGCTATGGAAGTTAAGAACAATTGAAATGGGGTATAATATAGATCCATAGCATGAAGCTGATCTATCTGGAGACAATAGACACACATGATTTGGAGCTCTCCATGTGGACTCATGTAGTAGTGCCAATCGATCTGTGAGTCGTGGTTAGGGCGGTATCATGAAACCGTAATCATTATCGTAGTTCGTTTCTTTAAGAAGCCCGTATAGCCATATAACCTCTACAAGCCTGTATTTGCTTCCCCTGATATGCCTCCTCTCATACATCATTCTGTGATGTTAATACAATAGAAGACTTGACAGAAACCTCAAAACGCCCGACGCCCGTTAAACGATAGAACCGTGATGGTACTTCAGCTCTCTATTTCCAACACTTGTTTCAATCCTGTTTCTGCAGATCTAAACCAGCGTCCCCGCTCCTCTAGATCATCTTGTACACCACCAAGGGCAGCTTCCTTCCGTCTCCGCGCCTCCTTTGCAGCAGTCTTGCTATTCTGCCTCTTTGTCTCGAGGGGCTGCAGCTCAGCTTGCAATCGATCCAGTTCCTTCTTTTTCCTTGGGACTTGGCTTTGTAGTTGTTCTAATTGCCTGTCCAATTCAGCTTTTCGTAGCTTTTTTGACTCGACCAGGTCTAAGGTCTTGGCCAGAGGCAGATTCAGCTCGGGGTTTGGATTTGATCCTGTTTTCTGCGTCTTCTTTAACTCTGCAACTGCATTCTCGAGGTCTTCAATCTTGCGCGGAAGCTCTTCTAACTTGACCGTCTCGACTTTGATTTTCTCATATTTTCGACTTAGGTCCCTCGCTTTCCCCTCAAGTTCGGTGACCATGGATGCGACCTCGGTTTTTAAGGCCTTTAACGTAGCCTTTGCCTCTAGATTCTCCTTCTCAAGATCCAAGTTTTCCTGGGGGCTAACGATAAGAGGTGGATCGCCCACGATAGCTCGGATGAACTTCTCCTTGGAGACTTGCTCTACATAACTAAAGCGCAACTTGGCGAATAGTTCTCGGTAGTGTGTTAAATCTGCTTCAAGAGAGGATGGTGTAGTTGCATCAAGGGATGAATTAGAGACATCAGATGTTCGCTGATGAGCATCCTGTAGGTGTGTGACCGCAGCCGATATAGGTTCACTGAGCTTTAAGATGGTGATGTCCTGCTTAGCACTAAGTGTCTGTAACCTAGCCAAGACATCCTCGGCTGAGGGAGGCGCCATTGTGGTGAACGGGTTCGTCGCGTGCCTTCTTGAGTAGACTGGCTCGGGTTCCTATATCTAGTGGTACTAGTAAGTTTGAAGTTTTTGTTACTCAAGTAGTTTAGGTACCTAGGTAGTTAGTACCTAGTTGATGTAAATAATCAGATTTCAACGCATCAGATGTCGTCTTGTGTATTTACTTTCGTCCAAGAAAGGAAAGGTGGGACGTGGATAGTTGGCGTAGTGAGTAGTGAGACCCTACAATTGATAAGAGATAAAGGATAAGGGTGCTGGACAAACAGGCAAGTAGGACATGGGTTTTAATTCTTTTTCTGGTAGTTTGGCGCGCTGGCAAGTTCCTTTAATAGATGGGGACGCGGACCCACTTGTCTAACATGTATGTAGGTAGGTATACCTATGCTGTCCATTTAACTTTGAACCATTCACCCCGCTGACTAGCATCGTACATCGCTGCGCTGATTTAACGATCTTATGAACCCTTAGCGATATTCAACTTATTCCTCTTAGATTCCCTTAAGCAACCGAAAATGCCCCCCGAAGACTTACTAACAGACGACCAAGTCGCTGAGCTTCTGGTTAAGGAAGCCCAGGACTGCTCTCTGAGATATTCTGCGATGGGTCTGGATGCATTCAAATCTAATAAGTAAGCGCCTAGTCTACCTAATGCATAAATTCACTGTTGTGTCACCAGAGTCTCTGCTCCTCCATCTTCTCTATCCTTAGTAGCAAGTAGCTAACAGCTATACCCTCTAGGCGTCCTGCAAATCAACCTAAACCTAACACCCGATTCCTCAACAATATCATTCGCGACACCAATAGCCATAATCGAGCCCTTCTTGCCAAAGAAAGCGCCGAGTCTAGGGCAAAACTTCGTGACCTCGAAGATGCGGAAGATAAGAAGCGGAGGGAAGAAGAGCGGAGATTGCGCAAGAGCAAGCCCGGACCCAGCGACACCCGAAAGCGTATGCTAGGTGATATCGCTGCCATTCTCGGAGGATCGTCTAAGAGGCGTAGGACTGAAATAACCGAGGCTTCTACCAGCCATACTTCAGACCCAGCGGCGCCTCATGCTGAGGGTGATAGAAACGTGAGAAGAGAAAAAAGTCGAAAGGATCTTTCGAGGGAACGCGATAGAAGTTCACACCGAACCCATCGCCGAGATGAGGGGAGACGAGAAGACCGGCGCGAGCACAGGGCACGTTCGCCACGGCGCGAAAGCCATCACCACCAATCAAGGACCTCAAAGCGCACCCAGCGTCAATCCTCCCCGGACTCGTCTGATTCGGATCCTTTAGACGATATCATTGGCCCTGCGCCAGCTAAAAACCCTACCGTTCATCGACGAGGACGGGGAGCTAACGCCGCCACGTCTGGGATAGACGGCCGTTTCGCTCTCGATTACGATCCAAGCAAAGACGTTACGCCCGAGCAGGAAGATGCAGATGACTGGGACAATGCGGTAGAAGCGTTTCGTGATCGACAAAAGTGGAAACAACAAGGAGCGGACAGACTACGGTCTGCAGGCTTTACTGAAGAACAGATCAAGAAGTGGGAAAAGGGTGATACTAAAGACGAAAGCGACGTACAATGGACCAAGGCTGGTGGTTTGAGAGAGTGGGACCGCGGCAAAGTGGTTAGTAAGGACGGCACTGTGACCTTGGCAACAGACACCGAATAGCAGATGGCGTCGATGGACTTGCGCATGGTTCGAAAGCATCACAAAAAGCGTATCAACTTGGGTTTCATTCGTCCTTCCTTTAGCGGCGTACGGAAGATATCATTACATAGTTGCATATCACGGCACCGCATAGCATAGCATATCATAGCATAGTACGGCGTAACGAGGCATGGCATGGCGTTGATGGCATATCCCACGTGGTGTCACAGGACTGACTTATTCAGTAGGATGTTTGACTTGGAAATGTGATGAGCTAGGACGACTTTGTTTTAATACACTATACGCTACTCATCTCCCCACCTCTTGAAGGGTTGCTATATTAACTTACGGATTAGATAGGCAACCCCTCACTCGGGTTCAAAGCACGCACCTTAGTAGTTTCAGCTCAAAGATAAGTTGAAAGTCTGATCCGTGATAAGAAACGGGGGAACAGACACTTACCCAGGACTCGGATCATAGAAGCGTTTACGATTCGAAGTCATAGTTATTCTTACAATGTAGGTAAATAAATGTCCACCTGGCTGTGTAAGTAGAATTGCCGAAACAGGTAGTGTTTCTAACTTTAAACGAATCAGATCTCGCTACAGCTCGTATATAGACATTCTTCTAAAAGAGGAGCAGTGAGTTTGGCAATGAGAAGAGACCGCAATTAAACATACGACTAATGTTTTCCCGTGTGCGGACTATGCTGTAAACGGACTAATTCACGTAAGTTAATAGTTTACACTATACATTACTTCGGAATTGTGAACTTTGAGGTCGGATCTCTTTCAATATAAATTCTTACATAAGATAGGTATATTCAACGAAATATTCGGTGTACAAATTTGGGGGACTTGGCTCGTTTTTTTACAGTTTATAGTGGCTATTCGAAAACTAAATAATGGTGAGAAAGGGGATTGGTATATTTAAGATCTCGGAGCATAGTATTCTGAATGATATCCCAATCTAATCACTGCACGAAGATGCTTTGGAGTTTATACAAGATAAGAGCCCGGGAGAAAACTTTGTATGTAAGAAGCACCCAGATCATGCAATAGGATATGCGGCTAGTAGACTTCAATTTGTGTAGGTGGGCATGAAGGTTTAATGTAAAGATACCCGTGAGTTTACCGGATTCTCGATCTTGAGATTGTGAAGTGCAATAGCGATATGCTGATCTCGACTAGATTGCTAAAAATGGGTTCGTCCGGTATTGAAAAGGGACCGAGAAGGATATAAAATTGCTATTGCGTGTTTGCTCGTGTGATCGATGAGATCATTTCTTTCCCCTTGCGAAACATTCGGTATAGTCCACCCACCTTCTCGGCTGTTTCCAAGAGAAGTGATTTGGCTCCGAGTCATCATTTAGGTTCTATATAAGGGACCATGTAGGTCGCGTCGGTAATGACCATCAGATCAAACGCACATGCTCAAGCTTGGCCGGGTTGAAAGATAAAAAATAGGAAAAGGGGATCGCGTTGCTTTTAATGTTCGCGCTAGTCCGTCAAAATTGTGACGCAAGCACGCGCTTACTCTCCCCAACTAACCTAATGTAGCAATCAAGCCAACTCAGAAATCTAGCTCTAAGCCCCGCTAGAGTATGCTTGGGTGGCCCCATGTTAAAATGCGCCCACTCTAGACCCTGCCACCCTGACATCCTGACCTCACCATTAACCTTTCGCAGTTCCAGTTAGGTAATTACGTCCCACCACTGTTGAATGTATCTGTGCATCTGTTGCATCTAAGTACAACAATGCCGTCAACTCCGCAGTTGCGCATCCTAATCCTTCCTATTATTACTATCATCATCGTTGCCGCCCAGGTCTAGTTCTAAGTCTTCTTCATCCTAGTTTTAAAAGGGCCTTTTGCCTTTTTGAGGTCTCTTGGATTTTATAGATTTTCCCTTTGATCCTGCTCTATCTCTATCTTGTGCTTCCTTTTTCCGTGGTCTTGTTATTCTATCGTCCCCCACTTCGTTCTATTCGGACTCGACTTATCTTGAATACGCTTCATGCCCCCTCGGCGATACTAGCTTCTATTATTACGCTTACTAGTTACGAATGGTCAACTACAAAATTGGGCAGCTGAATTACCAGCTACGTTAATAAACAGTTTCGTGCGGTCTTCTACATCACCGCAAACATGCGACCACCAAGAATCGTCATCCTCGTCCTCTTCTTCGCTGCTTGCCTCTTCCTCGTATGTCGCGCTGTCACGTCCGCCGGCCGCCCCGCCCCCGTCATATCTTCCCAGCCAGTGCAGAAGTCTGGCTTCGTCGGCTTTAGATCTCTCTTCTCTTTCACGACGCCTTTCACCCTTTTCCCGCCAAACGCTATTATAACCATAGCCGATGACAACAGCACCTCATTCGCAGCAAGGCCTGCCGCTTTTGGACCTCCATTACCAACAAACGGCTTGAACGGTCAGCTGTGGATCGGTAGTGGCTTTACCGAGGAATCTACGCAAGATGGAGAGGGCGAAGGTGAATTGGGATGCAGTGATGTGCCCGGCTGGGATGATGGTACCTCGAATGCCGTCTTGAAGCCATCCGTAAAGGAGATTCAAAATAAATTCAAGCCCGCCATTGCTGTCGAGAAGAATAAGAACCAGAAACGAGATAATTCCAAAGGTCCCTTAGTCGACCGAACCGCTACCTCCAAGTCCGAATCTAAATCTAAGGTTAAGCCTATGGACGACGGAACCGATGACTATCTCCACCAGAAACTTGACAAGTCAACCACGTCGCAGAGTGATGCGCTTGGTTCTTCAAGCTCGGGGCATGCGGATATCCAATCAATACAAGAGGGAGCTGAGATTGCCGGCAAGATAGTCTTGTTAAGTCGTGGTGGGTGCGGATTTCTCGAGAAAGTGAAGTGGGCCCAACGACGAGGTGCTATTGCTTTAATTGTTGGAGACAATCAGAGAGGTGGACCATTAATACAGATGTACGCCCACGGGGACACGTCCAACGTTACCACCCCTTCCATCTTTACGTCTCGTACGACCGCCTATCTGCTCTCGCTCATGATGCAACCCGGGAGCTTCATCGAAGACATAATTGACGAGAACGGCAAACCCTCTTTGAAAGTACAGCAATCTGAGAAGGCCCGAAAGAACAGGAGGGCAAGACAAGCCGCCTCGCCGGCGCAGTCCATCAAACCCAATCCTAAATCTAAAAGCGCAAAAACGCCAATAAGTAAAAGGCCCTCATCGCCAGGTGATGGACTGTCAAACTCAGGATCTAGCTGGATCAAGAGGATTTTTAGCTGGGGTTCTAATTCCAATTATAATTTGGCATCAAGCGGCAGCCGTCCGCCTAGCAGTGGCCAGCTCGACTGGGTGCTGGTTGAGGACTTTTCGGATGAAAAGGACAAGATCATAAAGAGCAATCTTGAGCGCGCATCAAAGGCTAGACTAGACGGTGCCTCAAAGTCAAAATCCAAGCAAAGCCCGAACGATAATTTTCAGATAGGCGTAGAAGACTGGCGTGACCCAGACCTAGTTGGATCTTCCGACCAAGATGATGAACTACAAGATTCGGTAGGAATAAGGAACAAGCAGGCAAAATCAAATTTGGGGTCTAGTCAAGCCTCAAAGCAACACGGCAACGGGAAAACTAAGGGTAGAATTACCCCCAACAGTGGACAGTATGCCGCAGGTCGTATGCCCGCAAAGGGGTCCGATGCTATCGGGTCTACCAATAGCAAGATATTTGCTCCATCTAACGGTGGTCTTATTTCTAAGATATTCGGGGATGATGACAGAGCGGACTTCGCCAAAATTGAGGCCCAATCTAAGCCAACTAATACGGCCAATGATGGGAAGCTCGTTCCTAATCCTGGGGGCTCTCTCCCTGATGCTGATGAACGGGAAGGCCTTTGGGTCATCATTACCCCCTCAAGTGGTGCCAGTCCTTTTTTTGACACACTCCTAGTTCTAGTCATCAGTCCACTTATTACACTCACAGTAGTCTATGCCCTACTCATTCTACGAGCACGCATCAGACGAAGAAGATGGAGGGCGCCAAAATCAGTAGTTGAACGACTCCCGGTACGTACGTATCATACAGTAGCGTCCACATCAAGTCGGACGTCCAGAGTCCCATCGCCTACTAGTTCGTCGCCGACAACACCGTTGCTCCAGAGTCAACATAGTCCGTCGAGGTCTAGACCGCGATCGCGGACTACTACTAGTGTGCCATCAGCTAGCGACCTTCTACAAGTTGAATCTTCCTCGCCAATACCTAAACCCCCCTCACGCCCAGAGCATGAGAAACGTAATGGACAACACACAAGCCAGTGGAAGAAGTATATGGGCCGGCAAGTCGAGTGCGTCGTATGCCTAGAGGAATATGTCGACGGTGTCAGCCAAGTTATGAGTCTACCTTGCGGGCACGAGTTCCACGTAGACTGCATGTAAGTTTACCCTTTATAAGTTTTTAAGATACAACTAATATAGGATAGAACACCATGGTTGATAACACGACGGCGAACATGTCCCATTTGCAAGGGCGATGTTGTCCGGTCTCTAGCTCGTGGGATGTCATCCAGCCCTCGATATGAACCATACCAGGATGATAGTGACGAAGATGTTGAAGTGCAAGCAACGAGTTCTTCATCTCCTGATGATCCTATCGGACAAGCGGATAATTCCGACGTAGAGCAAGGCGCGCCAATATTACACCACCCACATCAGGAGAGTTGGTTCAGCACACTGAGAAATAGCATGCGAAATGGGCTTCTATCTTGGCCTAGGCAAGCACCAGAAGAAACAGAAAACCAAGGCAGGGAATAGGTTTTCTCACCTGTACGATCTGCTTCTACATGATACCATCGGCGTTCGGTCACTACAGCGACATGATTTTAATATACTGGTTACGGTCTGGCAAAGCATTAGGGAATAAGGTTAATTGTTAGGGACAGCACTACCACGCTGGTAGGCACACGAGACCTTCGGAACTCTTCTATAGGAGTTATTCTAGTTTTGTGAGAGGCGAGCAAGCATGTATTACATGCTAGCATTTACGGGTTTAGTCCATGGATTGTGGATTATTAGGTTGTAGAGACCGCATCATTACTAGCCTACGGGCTTGGATGAGGATTGTTATACCCTGTGTAGTCACTACATGGCTATGGTAAATACAAGTTTGACTCGCTGTCTTTTTTGTACCATGTGTTTTTTATAAAAATCGAGATTTGTGGCATGAGTTAATGTGTATGTTTAATAGTAATTTTCACGCCTACGCTTTGTAGTGTTTGATAGCAATATGTGACTAGTACCAGCTATCCCTGAGATAATGATAATAATAATAATAATGGGATAAAAATGAGAACCCAGTGGCGATTCTACTGACCGTATGTCTTAAGTGCCACGGTCGCGTAGTAATTATTGAGGTATTATAGATAGCCATCATCGTTTGTAATAAGATTGTCCGCAAAAAGATGTTAGTGATCCACCATGGTCTATATATTGGATGGTAGACTAGGTACTAGTTAAATAGAGAGTGAATAACACCGTGGTGGGTTGTAGTGCGAAGCTAGCTTAGTAGGGTTATGTGAGAAGATATCGTGGTTCGCGTTATTGAGTGTTATAGGAACGTCCCTATCGTTGACAGCCAACTATCGACCAGCAAGAGGTAGAAGTATGACACTATTCAGTATAGTCA